TTTATGGGCTAATTTTCATTTTTGGGTGAACTAACCCTTTAATGTAGCAACAATATCTGTATGCAACTCTAATGGCATTTGGGAAGAAACTACCACTGTGATACTTAGAAAGCAACATGTGAACTCGAGCGCTTTTTCCAAAATGTATTTGCAAACACCCCAGAATATCCAACTTTGACCCAGACAGCATTGAGTTTCCTGCTGGATTTTGCAAGACCTTGCAGACCGCTATCAACAACTCGTCCATCCTTCGAGGTCACAAAAAGAGCAAATTTTCAACCAAATATCATTCTCTGAATGAGATACAGAGGATACAGCGGGTCACACTGGGCATACAAACGAAGACCACCCGGTTCCCATGAAATCCGAGGACCAATGTGGCCTAAAACGAAACATCACCTCTGTCCCCGGAGGATTAGAACACACACACAAAACTCTTCATTTGACAGGGTTGACCTTTGGGACAGCAAAAGGCAAAGAAAGGATTGGGGCGGGAGGGAGATGTTATCCTGCTCTATTCAGAGAGGCATTCTTTCTAGATCAGACGTGGTCTAATCCATGCCGTCATTCATATTAGCTGCTCTGAAGGGCGTATGAATGAAGGAGTGAATGGACGCCCGCTGTCAGTCACCATCTCAACTCTTTGGGTCCCGGAAGGACTTGGGGATTCACCCTCTCTCTTTTCTTATCCTTCTCTTTCTATATCTCTCTGTCCTTTCCTCAATCCGTCCACTTAAATACACACAGCTGCTCTCTATCACACATCATCCCTCTTCTAGACTGTCACAGGAAAAAAAAACATCAGAAAAAGGCAAAAAGAAACACATTAGAGTTGAGAAATGGATAAAACAAGACAGAAAATTGTACTTCTATGCGCTAAAGGTACTTTAAAACATTTAGGTTAAAACAGTACGGCAATACTGGGACCACCACATTATAAAAACTAGTATGGTATTCCCCTTTGGTCCATTTATACTTGAGAAATTGGGAAGAGTCACAAACTCCTTTTTCAAAGTTTAAGGGTTGTGGACAATATTAGCCAAAAAAGCATATTATGTATACGCACTATACTGTGTTTTCATGTAAACATAAGTGACAGCTAAAACCTTAAAAATTGCAGAATTACATAATTGTTCAATTATATACATTTAAATTAAATATAAAGGTACAGTGCTGTTTAAAACTTTGCGTTCAGTATTTTTTTTCTCTTTTTTTTTGCAATTAAGCAATGAATAATTTTAGTCAGCACAGACATTCAGTGACAATTGAGATATTTTGTTACCCAAAATTACAAATGCTGTTTTTCTTAAATTTCAATTCATTAAAAATTCTGGGAAAAAAATGTTTTCAAAATTAAAAAAAAGAACTCTTTCCACAAAAATATTAAGCAGCGCTACTGTTTTCATCACTGATAATAAAAATGTTTCTTGAGCACCAAATCAGAATATTAAAAAGATTTCTGAAAGATCATGTGACACTGAAGACTGGAGTAATGGCTGCTGAAAATTCAGCTTTGCATCAGATAAATAAATTAAATATATTCAAATAGAAAACAGTTACTTGGAACTGTAATAATATTTCACAATATTACTGTTTTACTGCATTTTTTACCAAATAAATGCAGCCTTTATGAGCATAAGAGACTTCTTTCAAAAACATTGACAAATCTTTCCTTTGACCATGATGAATATGAATTTTTAATATTAATTTCAGATTCACATATCAATTTAAAAAATGCAGTGGTAGCATCAAAAGATCAAATAAAACTGTCAAACTCATCCTCTGTAGCACAATGATTTATGGATAATATCAGCTGAAAATACATGTATACTTCTGACATAGCTTATCATCATTGGCATACTACTTTAAACATGATCTGGTACACACTACTTCTAATCTTGCATATTATACTATATAACATGAATAGTGTGCAATTTAGGATTGAAAAAAAAACTGTGAGGAAAAAAACAACAACATCTTTGCTATTCAAACACATGATGTGAGTTTTTAATACTTAATAGCATTATGAGTAATATACCCACACATCAACAGATCTGAACGGCACCTTCGCAACCTTTTTTTATTTCTCCCGTTTTCTCCCTCACTATCCACAGATCAGGCGTCAAAAAGCAGGACAGCTCTATAATATCATAGGCGTATACATATTTATTCATGTCCCCGCGTAAATCCCTCCGTCCAGCTGAAATGTTTTTTGGAAGAAAAGAAGTAGATGCGGCTCATAAATCACAGCGAGCAGGTGCTTGGACGACTGTGACACCGAGGGCTGAGAGAGACACACAGATATGAGATGCTTTATCACAGGAGGAGCGAGAAAAAGACAGCTTCTGAAAGAAAGGCAGGAAAAGGATGGAAAGAGACTGCGCTCTAAATTATCCCATGCTTCTGCAACCTTCCTTGTAACCTACACTAGCACATGAAGGACTTCCTATAGGTGTGCAGGTCTGTAGGGGATTTACTAGGCAAAAACCATTAGGCCGCAGTAGCGCGGGGAAAAAGTGCAGACAAAAGGCACAAAGATGCTCTTCCTGCAGCATTCAGCTTATTAAAATATCAGCACACATTTCTCAAACAGTCTTAATTCTCGCAAATCAAGACTAATGAAATATCAGTCCACTGTTTTACAGTCGGCCCGGATGAACTGGGATCTCTCTCTTAACAGACATGTGACTATCCGTCATCATTATGAGCACTCGCAGTCTAGCGGGGTGAAGAGGTTAAGCGTCCACTTCTGAAAAAAAACCACATGTATGTTCATTTAGGAACTGACGGCGTGTGTGACAGGCAGACAGAAATCAAAACAAATGAAGCAGTTACGAAGAAAAATGAGAAGCGCTCATTTTCGACGTTTTTAAAACGCGATCCATCAGCGAAGACGAGAGGCCAGGGGCTCTGAAACCAACTCGCATCGTCCCATTACCTGTCGGGATGGAAGGAAAAGGTGGAATTGGGAAAAAAGAGAGGCTTTTGGATGGAGAAGATGAGCAGAGGTCTGATACCCGCGTGAGAAAGGCAAAACAAAAAGATGAAGGGGTGAGAGAGAAGATAAGAGAATGATATATAGGTAATACCAGACGCGGTAAAGATGTAACAGAGCTAAAAGTGGCCTGCCTGGAGTCTGGAGAGACACTTTTGAAGATGATGAGGGTTTGATAACCTGTGGCAGCACCAGACATAATTGTGTGTGTGTGTGTGTGTGTGTGTGTGTGTGTGTGTGGGGTGAGAAGGCCATTTACTCTACGTTGATATTCTTTGGCGTTAAGCCTTAGAATGACCTCTTTTAAAACAGAACACTTAGCTTAAATATTGTGGCTGGTGTACTGCCGTTCACTTATATTTCGTTGTAATAGCTATAATTGTGTTCTCTGAGACAGGTCAAGCTGTGCTTCAATAGGCAGTCAAACTTCATGGCCTTTTAAGAGGAGTTATTTCTTCTAAAGAGCAGCCTATTACAGTCTGAGATCTCACTGTGTATGATGGGGTTTTTCCAAGGAGACGCGAGCGAATGCCAACACAATCTCATACAAGGTCAGAAATAATCTCTATGAATGTATGCAAATGCAGGTGCTAGGGATGCACAATATATCGGTACTGTATCGGTTATCAGTTGATATTAAGAATTTGTAAAATTTGATATCAGATATTAAATTGTGTATGCTCATCAAGAAGGAGGAGGAGGAAAAGAAGAAGGAGCAGGAGGAGGAGGAGGAGAAGGAGGAGGAGGAGGAGGAGGAGAAGGAGAAGGAGAAGAAGAAGACTGGAAAATAATTATAGTTTATTATAAATAAATTAAATTGTAGTACTAAATTGTAGTATGGATAAATTCTAGTATTTACAACACATTTGAGTATTTATTGTTTTTATTTACACAATACATTTTAGAAAAATATATATATAAATATATATATATATATAAATGTAATAATAATTCTAATTATAAATATTTTAGAATTTAGCATTTTATTTATTTACTTATTTTTATTTACACAAAATACTCCTGGATTTTAGTATCTGACTGTAAAAAAACTGTTTTATACTAATGCCCACTATAGCATCCCATAACAGTAACAGCAATGCTGATATATAGGCCTTATGCATATTATAATGCATTCCAACAATGATGCATGAAACCAAGCGTTTGCATTCACATACTTGTGTAGAAAATGTTTCAGGCCTTAGTCCATACTTGGTTTAACTATTCATTAAAAGCATACTGATAATCACATTAAACTGTGGTGTAGCGCATTGGGACACTAATTCCAACAAGTGCCCTTTGACCCAAACAGGACACGTTAATGGGCGACTAAACTGGGTGAGCAGGGACATCTTAACCCATTCAGAAAACAGAAGATAGCAGAACATAGGGAGAGGTCAACACTGTGAAACTGCTTCGGTGTGACAGAGTATGGCAAGCCCCTGGGGACACAAGACAAACACACAGAGTGCATGCTTAAACACAGCATCACAGGAATGAGGCAAAGGTCAGCACTGACAGGTGGCTGGAGAAAACATCACACTCTTCCACTCAAGCATTTATCTGTAATTCATCCAGCATCCACGGCTGCGTAGCTTGACAGGATGTGTGTGTGTGCATAAGTCTGTGAGGAACAGAAGTTTTGTGTGCGTGTGTGTGAACAGCATTAAATGCATTCTTTTCTGTGTGAACATGTACATATAAACATGGGCCATGTACACACTATAAAGTTTCAGGAGTGACAAACATTTAAAGAGTGAATGAATCCCCTAAATTATCATTTTATGTATGCACAAAACAGCATCTTGCATGTTTGGTATCCACTATTTTTGACCAAAGCAATATTACAGCGACCAAAGACTTTTTCTATGTTCTATGTTTCAAGTTATGTTTGGTTATATTAACTAAACACCGTTGACAGAGCCTTCATGTTTTGTTTATGTTTGGAAGAATACTTTGCAGAGCACACTCTTGAAATGTTGCCATGTCTGCTTATTAACTTTTTGGCTTGTTGTGTAGGCTCATAAAGTAAAGCAAATTCATTTTATGCAATTAATAAAGCAGGCAGGTGCAGGTTGTGAAATTTTGGCATATGGCTTATTTTTAGGATAATGCAATTGGATTTAAGTTTATTATAGACGTGTACTTATTTGCCATCATAGTAAGATCTGGCAACATTAAAGAGTTGTTTCCTGTGATTTCTTGCATCAAATCTCTTATACATATTTAAATACGTCATTAACAGAATTCCTGTACAGTAAATGTCATTACCTGAATTTTTCGAGAGCAAATTTGGTTGTAAAATGTAGTTGTCACTCCTGTAAATTACTGAACTGTCTGTGAACAGAACAGGACTAAAAGGTGAATTGATATCCGAATTTAGCTGCAGTGTATGCCATACTTTAAACATCCTCTGATCGAAAACCTTTGCTGTTCCAAGAACAACACTCCTATTAACCAATCATAGCCAACCGTATCCATTGTCTCTAAATTCAACCCCTATATTCCTAACCCTGACCCCCAATTTTCAACCTTAAAACCCATCTCAACCATTCCCAATCCAGTTCAAACCCCTCCTAAATGTTTACCCTAAATCCTAACCTCTATTTTTCAACACCTAACCTCTTAACATCTTAATCCTCACTTAACCTTGACCTCAAACATCATCCCTCAACCCGAAATCCTTACTGGTTCAAATTCTTAACCTTAAACCATATCTCTAGCCCACTGGTTGATAAATGTCATTCCAACCCTAACCTACCACTATGTCACCATATTGCTTTGTTTCTAGGTGCTCCAAGTTCTGTCTGGCCTACTAATGGTTATGAACATCACAACCACTACAATTCATTCCATGCCATTCCATGTTGACATCAAATTAGTTTCTACACCACTAAAACCAACATTTTGGAGAGAAACGTTTATATATAAATTTCACCAATGCTCAATGCTTAAAATAAAATCATGGCAAAAGTAAATGGCATTGCCCTCTTATTATGCACAACATAAGGAAAAAACTGATTAAAAGGGTCAAATACAATATGACATTAGAAAAGTAAATAAAAATAAATTAAATGGGTACATTATTAATCAAATAGGCCTAAACATGCATTGGAAAGCAATTATACCCGAATGATTTTCCAGAAGCCAAACCCGCATGCACATCAAAAAGCTTTCAGCTACTAAGAGAATGAATACATTGAAGAGACAACTATTTACAACTTCAAGCAAAAGATTATCATATCAAACTCATGTTAATTCCATCGTTTATGCAGATTTGGACCTCCATCTCTAGGGCAGTTTCAACTTTCAGGAAATCAAAAGGCTCAGACAAAACATACTTCATTCTTATTACCCAACCCAATTCCTGATAGGATCTTATCACCTGTTTTCCCTTTAGAGGGCGAATAATGTTGGAATAGCCATTTGGGAAAAGCAATACAGATAGATGTGTTTCTAATGTACAACCCTAAACACACACACACACACACACACACACACACACCTGTGGCCCATCATTCATAGCTTACAGAGACTTTGCAGTTTCTTTTTGTCTTTCTCACGCACACGCAGTTAAACCTCATTATTCTCACAGTCAGTAAAGCTTGCGTCTTTCCTCGTGTAACATCAGACCCTGAAGACATTTCATTACATACAAAAACCCTCTCACACGCTCTCCTCCCACCATCCCGTAATCCAATCACAGCGCTGCTAATGCACCTCTCTAATGCAATCAGCCAATCAGAGCATCCACTGTGGCCTCGCTGGTCACATGACACCCCGGCCCAGGCCTGTGCGAAGAACCATGTCAGGCTAATGCTATTTTAATGCATTTCTTAATGCAATTTAGCATTAGCTGCACAACCTCCCCCCTCCCGACTCCGATTCTGCCCCACTGGACACCACAAATCAATTTCTGACATTTCTAAAGAGACGATGATCCCCGTGTTGGCACTGAGGAAGAGGGATAATGACAGCCTAATGTGATTTGTGAGCGCAGGCTAGTCCTGAAACAGGCTGGCCTCCCTTCACTTCCCCTTAACCAACATGCATTACTATTGGGGCTAATAGGCCACATTAAGACATATGGAGCCAAAATGTCCTATAATTGTAGAGCTCTTCAGTTACAGGTTTCCAGCTACAGTAGCTTAATGGCCAAGATTTCACATTCATGACAAGACTGGAAGTTTGTCACAATATATGAGAGAAACATCTTTAGTGTGTTTCCAGATCAGGTAATCCATGATTGCATATGTGTTTGTAGATTCAAAGGGATATGAAATTCTGGTCATTATTTACTCACCCTCATGTGTTTCTTTTTAAACGCCAAATGTGTTATTTTGTTATAAATAAGAGTTCTTGACAAAGAAGATTTTAAGTCAAACAAGACTTCAGTGAATAACAACTTAATTTTTGCTCTGTTCCTCACACAATGCTACTGTATGGCTTCAGAAGAATATAGTGCATGATTTATAATGGTGCCCCTGGTCTCCATTCACTTTAACTGTATGGAAGTGAGCAGCTTGGGCATTTGGCTAAATGTCTTCTTTTGTGTTCCACAGAAGTAAGTAAGTCATACAGTTTAAAAAAATGATATAAGGGTGAGTAAATAATGAAAATGTTCAGTTTTGTCTTTTAAAAAAAGAAATGATTGTATATGTATTATAGTGTGTGTGTAAGCTGTATTATTGTGTATGTATAACAATACTTAAGACAGAGGAAAAACAACAAAATATTTATGTTCAAATAAATAAAATACCATAAAATAAAATAACAAAATAATAATAGATACCTGTTGCACAATAATCATATAAACCCACATAGATCAAGCTTACAAAATAATGAATGACAGCATGTGGAATATCTGTATTTGGACTTTGAGTGTGTTATTCTGAACTCACTTAAACTTGGCGTTGACCTCGTCTGCTGCCTTGTGATAGTTTTCATCTGTAACCTTGTAGAACTGGGCACTCTGAGGAAGATAAAGACAGAGAAGATATGTGTCAAAAAAATAAAAGCTTTTATTGTATTTACATTCTTATTGCCTCTGTTGTCTCCTTCAGTATGAACAGAGATCAGAGAACATTTATAGACATAAAAAGCTCACACAAAAATTCAAAACAGCAGCAGGTTCAACCCTGCTGAGTCTCAACATTTCTCTGCTACCAGTACAAGAGAAAAAAAACCCTCAGTTAAAATATAAATTAAGCATTTTTGTTGTCCGTGCAGCACAAAGAGTTTTGCTCGCTTTCAGATTTCAAAGATGGGAGGAAATCAAAGAAAAAGGGTCAACAAAGATGAAAAGGTCATCACACTAACAGATGATGGCAATCTAAAACCTTATGAGGTTCTTAGTGAAGTGTGTCAAGAGTAGGTGGGCAAAAAAAATGTCCCTGCAACCTGGAATGGATCTTGATAAAGCTTTCGGTTCGACCATTCGAAAAGATAACTGACATTTCAAAGAAAATGGGCAGAATGTCAGATGTATGACTGAATTTGAGGATGTGACAATAAAAACTTGCTCAAGCTACATCCATAAAGAGAGCTCTCAATCACAGCCAGACAGGTTCATCTCACATTCACTGTCTCACACACACAATCAATACAAATGAAAGGCTACAACCATGAGGATCAATAATTATATCTTAGGCTTTTAGTGAAGCTACTGTATCGCTTCTGATGGACTGCGCGTCAAGTAGAAATCATTTGTCTAGTGGCTATCAGAGATGTGGTACGAGTCCAAAATCAGCTTCCTGTCAAACATACCAATGGTTAGTAGAGAGATAATTTACCATAAAAGACCATTAACAATATTTACTGGCCAGAAAAAAAAGTATTATAATTTTTTATTTAACATTTATTTACTTTATTAATAAAATATATTTAAATAATGATATTTAAGGCAAAAAAGTATAAACGTAATGAAAAAAAATGCTAAATTTAGTGCAAAAAAAGAGAAGAAAAACACAAAATAAAATAAAATAAAAATTTGTTACCAGCTAATAGTTACCAGCTAATGATGGTTTTATTTTCTTGCCAAGGCAAAACATTTGGTCCTTGCTTGAAAGTGTGGTTTTGGACCCTTTGTGGAACTACAGTATTACACTATGGGATGTAGGAAGTTGTGAACAGCCATCTTGCACAGTAGCAAAGTTCCAAAATAATGTTTTATTTCCCCCTGAGTGGATGTTAACAAGTCTGCCATCAAGCCTATTATTGGAACAACAGCTCTGAGAGTTAAAGACGAGATCAGGTACAAGCTTGACTCCGAGGGGCCTGATATAAGGGAACAACAGCAGTGATTTTAAGAGCATGTTGTGATGATGCAGATCTGATGGGAGGAGTCAGTAGTAATCAGGGCTACACACTAAAAAGGCACTGGCCTGCAGCAGAAATTGATTACGTGGAAAGTGAGTTGGACCTCCAAACACATGCTCTAAAACCACATGACCTGAGCGACGGTGTAATTTGGGAGGTCTGCCATTTCCCTTGATTAATGACAGAGTGGGATAGGTGCTGATTGTGATTTCAGAGTTGGGCCACACTGATTTAGAGGCCCCTCCATCAATCTGAGAGCAAACGTTTACCACCCACATGCTCTCGCGCGAAACCCTAAACCCTCATCTTCATCTGCCATAGCCAGAGTAGACTGTAATCAGATTATGATTACAAAACCTGATCTTATACATCTTAACAATAATTTTCAAAAAAGTTTTAAAAGTTTTAGAACATTAATTTTTCAAGCTGAAAAAGTGTTAATTTTTTTATTTCATAAATATTAGCATTTTGAAAACTCTGACATTGGCATTTCACAACCTGAACTAACTTAGCCTTGTCACGAAAAGAGCAAATAATCTAGAATTTTAAAAGGCTTAACACAGTGGTAAAGGTTTTCAGGCGTTGTCTCTATGATGAGTTAGTTAGACCACACGACTTTGATTTTGCTTTTATTAGTAAAACAGTTTTGTCTGTTGGACCACATGAATGTGTTTGTCACAACACATTACTTTGATTTTGCTTTTATTATTAAAACACAATGTCTTATGTTTTGCTTTTATTATTAAACAGTTTTGTCTGTTGGACCACATGAATGTGTTTGTCACAACACATGCCTTGATTTTGCAAAAGTGTTTTATTATTTATTGTATATTTAAATAATGATAATTGAAAACTCTTGTCTGCTGGTTGCACCACAACTTTATTATGATATGATTTTGCAAAGTTATGTGATCTTACATCATATATCATATCATATCATATCATATCATATCATATCATAACATCATATATCATATCAATCTTTGATTTTGCGAACAAGTTTTATTATTTCTTCTGATGTACTGAACAAATCTAAAATACTAATATACAATTATTATTTCTTATTATTTCTAATATAATTCCTGAAAAATCAAAGTCAAGTGGCACGACCAACAGACTCATGTGGTCCAGCTAACTTATTGAGCAGCTTTATTTTGCAGATAAAAATGTTTTATTATTGCTTCCTATATATATTTAAGAAATACTAATATCTTTTATCTGTGAAATCAAAGTCATGTGGTGCAACTAAATTTTTACAGAGAGGCTTTGATTTTGCAAAAGTCTTTTTCCCTTTGTTCTTATAAGAAATAATGATAAAACAGGTTTGTCTGCAAAATCAGTTGTGAGGTACCACCAACAAGTCAAGTTATGTGGCACGACCAACAAAGTGATGTGATCCAACAGACCGAAGTGTTTTAATAGTAAAACACTTTTGTCTGCAAATCAAAGTCATGTGGTGCAACTAACAAAGTCATGTGGTCCAACTATGATATATGATGTTATAATGTTGCAGTTGTACTACCCTGACATTTTTAAAGTCAAAATAGCCTCATGATTTTAGGTACTGTATCATTCAAAGCACTACTAAAGAATCCAGTCCTTTACCTGTTCAACAAAGCAGCTGTCAGACTCCTTTCTCACCTTCTGTTTACAGTCATCTAAAAATAAAACTTTCAACAAAGTGATGTGATCCAACAGACAGAAGTGTTTTAATAGTAAAACACTTTTGTCTGCAAATCAAAGTCATGTGGTCCAACTATGATATATGATGTTATAATGTTGCAGTTGTACTACCCTGACATTTTTAAAGTCAAAATAGCCTCATGATTTTAGGTATTGTATCATTCAAAGCACTACTAAAGAATCCAGTCCTTTACCTGTTCAACAAAGCAGCTGTCAGACTCCTTTCTCACCTTCTGTTTACAGTCATCTAAAAATAAAACTTTATTTAATCTGGTGCACACAGGGGTATTATGGACTAATGAAAGAATCTCCTAAAAGCTACTCCTGCCACTGACGGTGCATATAGGTGGTGTTTTGAGAAACAACCCCATGTTCAAATTAAATCTCGCAGGCTTTATAATGAGAGACCTGAGCAGTGGTGCAGTAATCAGCAGGCTGTGTTATCTCTCACAGACCAGAGAGGATGTGGAGGGAAACCCCCGCTGAGACAGCCATTATGGCTCAACAGCACAGCGGCCATATTGGCTCTGCAGTGCACCGGCAGAGGCGCGAGACCGAGTTTTAACAAATCAAAGCCGGTGACTGCAAACAGGAAAGGAAAGCAGAACAGAGGCCTGTGGATTCAATCCTTCCATCACTGCCTCGTACTGCAAGAGATTGTGAAACAAAACAGACAAGTGGAAATGTCGCAAACAAGCACAAACACTGTAATTCAATTGCATTGCATTAAACATCCAGTCCAAGCATGGAAAACATTTTTAAAGTGACATATTGGTGACATTTCAACTCATATGGGTTTGGAACGACATGATGGTGAACAAATGATAATACATTTTTAAGTATTCAAATTTTTACTTTGCTTGTGGCTGTCTGGAAGTAAAAAACAAGGGGACATGAGTGTGAACGCAAAGCTCAAGCTGTGTCTCTTGACTAGATAAAACTCGGCTAATTAAATAAACGAGGCCTCGTGCAGATACAGACTCTGTCCCTTTCCAGTGTCTCGTCTACAGTGAGGAAGAGATAATGACCACACACTGATCTCAAATAAAACAACACACACTCTTCACTTAACAATGCTGTCAGTAAGCACTGGAAACAGAAAGACAAGAGTGTTACATGCAGAGAAGAGCGATTTACATTCAAATCCATGTCTAGCCTCATTACGGGTTACTACGACCACATCATATAGTGTTGCTAGGTAACAGCCCCTGAGAGTCTGAATCAAAGCTTTGAATGAAGAGTAAGTTGTAAACTAAAGTTATGCTACATCATGTGATAAAAAATTTATACATTTTTATTATGGATTCAATGTACTCTCACATATGAATAGGTTGACCAGTAAGAATTTCAGGACATACGGGTCCAGTTGTGCTCTTCAAAATGTAATGGGATTGAGAACTGATTAAAAAAAAAATAAATATATATATATATTTTTTTTTAATGAAAAATAAAATAAAAAAATAAAATAAAATAATCCTGTTTGTTGGCAGATGGGGGGAAAACGGATCATTCAATTATTCATTATTACTACTGATTCATGATACTACTACTACTACTACTACTACTAATAATAATAAGGATAACAATAATCAACACAATTAACAATCAATAATTATGTTTTAATCCCCATAAATTATACACTTCAAACCCAGATTAGGAAAACATTCCCACATTGTTTTTTTTTTGGTAATAAATGATACTTTAATTGAATTTAAGAAATATTCCAATATTACAGAATTACAACAGACTCACAACTTTTGTTACCAAATAAAAGAACACTGAGCTGCAGGTGAAATGCACTATGGGAATTTTATCACTGACTCTGACTGGCTTGGTATGCGATCAAAGTTATTATTATTTTCTTACACATTATCAAGTCAGACCATAACAATGGAAAAAAGGAAGAAGTGTTAAAGGAAAAAAGAAAAAAGAAGAAAAAAACCCGTCTAATCCTGAACAGGCAAACATACA